ATACGCCAGGTACCATTTGGCTTCTTTATAAGCACACATTCGCAACCTAGCCGGGGAAGTTACATGACCGAATGAACCCAGCGTCCAGCAGCTTTTTTACTTTGGCAGATGTCGCCTGGCATCTCCTTCACTTCAAAGGCAAAGATGTCTTTGAAGTCTTTTAGCAGATGGTGCAAGTCTACACCAAGCCTTTCAAAGGCAACCTTCCCCACCTTAATCGTCTGCTCTAGACGGCTATCGTCTAGAGGGATATCAATGTGCTCACCAGCCAATTGGGGACGGAGATCATCTGACCGCTCCCTAGTCAGTGATTGCTATTTCTTCTCATTCTTCACCTCCACCAGCTTTTCAGTTTTTCTTTTCTTTGCGGCTGCTGGAGGGGGTGAATCAGGATCCTTGACATTGTCAAGGTCTATTGGCTCCTTCAGTTGACCGGTTGAAAAAGCAGTCGGCTTGACGTCTGAGAGATAGCACTCTCTTGTCGTTTTCTGATCCCTGTTGAGGGAGCCAACAGTGCCATCATCCATTTCATACTTGAGAAGCATGAGAGCTAGGATGATGACGGCCTTGCACTCGTTCAGAGTGGGTCGACCAAGAATGATGTTGTAGGCGGTCAGCTCTTTAACCACCAGGAACCAAACAACCATGTGCCATCCTTGTCCCTTCTCCCCCAACCGGATGGGAATGTCAATTTGTCTGACTGGGTGCGCGACTCCTCCCCCAAAGTCAACTAATGGGTGGGAGACGTCGCGCAGACCGTCCCGCTTGTAAGTAAGCCGGGACAGACACATGTAGCTGATGAGATCAGAGGAGCTACCGGTGTCTATGAGGATCCGGCCAACCAGCTGGTTGGCGACGTTGCACTCAATGACGACAGGATCGTCGTGCGGTCGGCGAACTTTGCCCCGATCTTTCTCAGTGATGAGGACGTATGGAATGTTCCACTTGAGGATGCCTGTACATCATCAACTGAGTGGATCATCCTCTTCAAATGATCCTTGGTGCCTCGGATGGTCGGGCCACCCCTTGCAAATCCGCCTGCTATGGTGTAGACGGGATCCTTGTCAGTATCCGAACTACTAGCAGGCTGGACAGTTTTTGACGATTGTCCCTGATTCGTCTTAGAAGTCGCCTTTGACTTCAAGACATAGGACTTCAGAAAGCCCTTGTCAGCCAAACGGTCCAACGTCTGCTTGAGACTATAGCAGTCGTTGGTGTTATGGCCCACCTCATGATGGAAGTGGCAGAATTTATTCCTATTCAGCAATTTAACGGAACTCTTCATAGGATTCGGCTTCTCAATGGTCACCCGGTTTCTCACCTCTGTAAAGATGGTGTAACAGTCTTTATTGAATTCATACTGCAAGATATACAGTTTGAATTCTTTCTTCTTCTTCTTGAACGATGATCAGGTTCCTCAACCGCTTAAACTTCTTTTCTCTTTTTGCTCTCTTCAGCTTTCTGAGCCGTCTGAGCAAACCAACTCTCCTTTTGCTTATCGGACTTCTTTGAGTTTGACTGATGGCTAAACAAGCAAAGGTCGGTAGCTTGAATAAAGCTCTCCGCCTCTATCAACGCCTCTTGAAAGATGAAAACCCTCTTACGGACAAGATCAAACTTAAAGGTCGACCCGTCTTTCAGACCCTTGAAGAATTCTATATAGGCTACCTCATTAGGCAACCCCTGGATTTGAATTCTCACTAGGTTGAACGGCTTGACATAGGAGCGGAGCCCTTTTCTATCTCCCTGCCGGATGATGCTCAAGTCGAGACTTGTCTTTTTGGCAGGGATGTTCATCGAGAAGTTTGAGGCAAACAGGAAGACAAGCTTCCTGAAGCTATTGATGCACCCGGCTGGCAGGTTGCCAAACCATTGTTGGGCAATGCCCTTCAATGTAGTTGGGAAGCATCAGCACCACATAGAATCCTCCAGCCCCTGCATGTGCATGAGGTTAGAGTAGGCCATGAGGTGGTCCTTCGGTTTGGTGGTACCATCATAAGCACCCACCAACACCTTCTTAACCTTGGCCAGCTGTGCGGATTCGGTTATCTCCTTGGTGAACGTAGAAGTTTGTTCACCAAGTTTGAGCAGTCGGAGCTACTAGTCCAAAGGTTGGATGTTATATGCCGCCTGACCCCCAAAGAGGGTCGACTGCATGAAATGAGGGGAATGCGGACCGTAGACCATATGGAGTACATACGGTGCATTTTCGATCATCTGAGGGCCAGCATGGACGGTATTACTACCTGTATGGCTCTCATGTAAGGATTGAGTATTCCCTGAGGATGTATTCTTGAAGCTGTTTGAAAAGCTTAAAGTAGAGGCTGACTTAGACAGCTGTTGATTTTTCCTGCAGGTGATGATTTCCCGGGTATCAGGAATAGATTTTTTGTTTCCCATCGGCTGTTCACCCCGGCGGGGGTTTCTTGTATTCTTCCGGGGCAAAAGAATCTTGGACCAGTCAAGGATCCCGGCTGCCTTGTCCTTGGGATGCGGAGTTGGTTGTCTGTCCTTGACTGGCTTTCTCCTTTCAGGAGGAGTTTTCTTTGCCGACTGACCCTTTCTTGGGCCAGCCTTGCTCTTGGTGATCATATCCTTGATTTCACCCTTGAAACTAGTCATGAATTTCATGAGTTAATCCCGGGTGACTGGGGCGGATTCACCTGCCGTATGGGTTTCCCCTTCCGGCTGACCAGGGGGTCTACTTGTACCTGCCTGGCTTGCTCTCCGTTCTAGAGTGTCTCTAGGACGGATGCGCTTAGTAATCAGAGAGCCATCCTTGGCTATGTAGGTTTGACCTGAAGATCGTCATCCTCATGGTAAGACCTCCGGCTGATTCGCCGGGTGGTCAAGAGGTGGTACAGACTCTTGAACCATTCTTGAGGTACTCTCCCCACAGACGACGCCAAATGTTTTGGGTGTTTTTTGTCCCTCGGGAGAGTTACAGCTCAGAGACTGGTTGCGTGCGGCCTGTACCTGCAAAACCACGGAGACTTCGATTGTTAAAGCTCCGCCTCCAACGATCAAGTTAGTATTTGAATATAAGCGGGAGAAAGTGCGGAAAAAGAGGTGAGATCTTATCGGATTCCGAGATCAGTTGATTCTCTGATGTAAGAGAATGTAGGGTATGCTCTACTAATTGCAGATGCCCCAAAAATGGGGTAAATCTCCCTATTTATAGTGTCATTGGGAAATGTGCCCTTCTAATCATTCTAGGCTGCGCTGAATTACGGCTTTCTCGGGATTTGGGCCATTAAAGGCCGTCTTTTTCTCCCAAGTTCTAGGAAGGACACGTGTTGAATGGAGATTGGTCCAATACGGACCAACCAGGGTGTGACACGTGTCGAGGCCTGATTAGACCACGTGGCATGGGTAAAATTACCCAAAATAGGCACCACCACCCCTCAGGAAAGTATACCGTCAAGTCTGGCCATGCCTTTGTTGTGGGTCTAAACGAGAGCTTTGAGCCATCGCATAGGAAGGAAACTTTTGATTTTTTAATTATCATCTGGCGCCTTAATATCCCTCCCAAATGGCGCATCTTTTTGTGGAAGCTGGCAACTAATCGTATACAAGTGAATGGGAACCTTCTGATTAAAGGGATGCATGCGGATGGAATATGTGGATATTATGGTAACCATTTAGAGGATGTTAGTCATCTGTTTCTGGATTGTTCTATGGCCCGGTATGCTTAGGATAACTGTGGCATTCCGAATTATAAAATACCAAATGGATCTATTTTGTTATAGGAATGTATTCAATCTTATATCCTGCTGTTTTACAGTCAGGATAGAGTTTGTAGCAGTCGAACTCAAAAACTTGTTGCAACTCTTTGGTCCCTTTGGATGACACGAAACAAGAGGGTCTTTGAAGGTGATAATGGCTACCTTAGATCCTTTATTAAATATCCTCACCCTGGCGCTTGATTTTCTTAAGAATTACCTGAAGCCAGATGTTCGTAGGCTTGGGACCTTAAGGGTTTATGACATGGATCCTCCACTGCCACCTGGGTTCCTAAAGATCTCGATGGGTAAGGAGTTCCTTTGCTAGTCTTATAGGGGCAACCAAACAATACCCGTAGTCAGAGTGGATGGCTCTTAGCACAAGCATTTTGGAGCCTATGGCACGGGGTGGAATTTCTCCTCCGTCGACCAGGTTGAAATAGGGGTAGGGGGGAATTCTGGATTAGCAACATCAGCCTTTCATGCGGAAGCCATTGTTTGCCTCTCAGCCTTGAAATGGAGCTCAACTTGTGGTCTTCACCCGATTTCTATTTACATAGATTCCACAACTTTAGTAAAATCCTTAGCAAATGGGAAGCTGACTAATATGGAAACACATTGGACGTTAAAGGAGATTCGAAACATTGGTACATCCTTCAAGAAATTTGTTATCTTAAAGGTAATTCGATACGAGGTAAGACAAGCTCACCAACTGGCCAACCAATGTAGGGTGCTTCGTATGTCTTTTTCTCACTTAAGTAACTACTTTAATTTCCGTGTTGCTTCTTATACTCTGTAATCCACTGTTGTAAAAAAAAAAATAAATAAAAAAAAATCTCACATCATATGTAGATTTCGGAATATAAGACTACTAGCATGATCTAAATCCCTTTCATCATATCATACAATGTCCCACTCACTGTGGAGTATGTACATCCAATATTTAAGATGAATTCATTATTTTGTTTATCCGCGTATAAAAATGAGTTCTCAAGTATTCATAAAAACCTCTAGATATTTAATACACTAAACAGTTGCATGAAAATTTAGAGGTTGAGCTATCACATATTTTCCTAATTATACATTTCTTTGTTACTCCAATAATGTAACAGTCTGTAATATATCGGCAAATACAAGTTTAGCTCCAAGAGAAACAAATAATGTTTCTCACAGGGGTAAAATTGTCATGAAAAATAAAGTGCATGGCTGAACTTGTAATTTCAAACGTTCACGGCAATAATAGAGGAGATTGGCGTTTAAAGTTTGACTAATGGTCAAGCACACTCACTAACGACTGTTAAACCAGCCAAGCCTTAGGAGAGAGAGAAGGCAAAATTCTGAGCTCGAGCTCGAATGGACGAATTGCGTCAACTTGAGTGGATGATCTGAGCTGAGTTGAATGGATAATTTGAGCTGATGATATGAGCTGAGCTGACTTGAGTGGATGATCTGAGTATCGTCAGTTGGAAGATCTGAGTATAGTCGGGTGAGCCTGGACTTGAGTGGATGTTTTAAGTATCGTCGGCTGAGTGGATGATCTGAGTATAGTCGGCTAAGCTGATTTGAGTGGATGATCTGAGTATCGTCGGCTGGGTGGATGATCTGAATTGATGGAGCAATTGATTATTCAATTTGTATCATTGTAAGTATGTGTTCTGCTATTATGTGATTTTATTACATACTGGACTGTTTTGTATTCAATTTTGAGCTTTTAATTCCATATTGAACTGATTTGTATTCAATTTTTCCCTTAGCTAATAAACAATTATATTTTTTATGTTTAAATTGTTCTCTTTATTCTATGCTGCACGTTGATTGATAATGTGCTATGTCAAATATGGATTCCATTAAGTTTATTCTGAATTATAGGAGATAATGTGCTCTGTCAAACATGGAAGAGGCATGTCATCAATGGTAAATTAGAAATAAATTTCTGTTGTATAGACTTCGATCAATTTAGCAGAACTATGTAGGAACTTTGTACATAATTGGCCAATTATAATGTTAATAGGGCAAAAATGGATTAGCAGATACGTGGGGGAAAGTAATACCAACTGAACTTTTTTGGTAAGGATTTATAAGGAGGGATGTATTGTATTGAAATATTGAATTAGTTTTGTTAATAATGTTGTTTTTGTGAAGGATGATCTTATTAACGTAGGCGGTCGAATTAAGAGAAAGGGTGAGGTAATCAAGAAGCAAGGGGAATTGTTTGGAAGGGTATGTGTGACTTTATTGATGAGTTTTATGCTATTTTGAAGATAATCTGCGTTTGTATAAATGAGTGTGTTTGTTATAATTTTGTGTTCTCTCCCATTTCAGCCTCCAAATATGAACTGCCGTATTGAGACCTTTTCTCGAATATGCCACACATTCGATGAGAGAAGAACTCGTTGGGTTAATGAAATGGGGTTAGGTGGGTTATTAACTATTCCAACTGACATACACTTGCCTCGACAGTTAGGGTATTGGATAATGACTCGGATTGGTCCTGTGAATAAGGTGCTTATTGATCCAGATGGCAAACAATTTAGGCTATCTGCTAACCAACTGCATTGGGTATTAGGCATTCCTAATGGGGGCTTAACTATCCCCACTAGTAAAACTATGTCACCTATGTTGCATGATAAGGTTATTAACATCCAGGACAAATATGGTCAACCATCTAAGGCTAGGTCAAAGATGCTTGCCGGAAGAGTTTATACATCTATAGGCATTCCTGTGAATTCCAAGATTATGGAACGGTTGGAGGAAAAATGGGAGGAAAATGAGGAGGAGAAATTTAAGACAATATTCTTGTTGTTGTCACTCGAAATGGTGTTATGTCCAACACAGTCTCCAAGGTTGGCCTGTGATCTGTTTCCTGCTCTTACCTGTGCAATGAATGCTTCCTGTTACAATTAGTGTGAGTTGGTGTTGAATAAGTTGATGGAGAGTGTTGCCAGTTTTGCATGGCGTTTTTTACTCCACTGGTGTAGCCGACGAATGTGGTGGTTGTACAATATTTGTTGTGGTATGTAATTAAAATTTCAAAACAAGCCAATTTATTTTTTGTTTTGTTATGATGCAATTTTTATTGATATTTCATTTGATGGTTGTGATAGGTATTTTATCTTGACAAGTTAAACCAGTTTCCTCTGCAATGGGGTGAATTTCCTAGAGTTAAGGTGTGGAACATGAATAATATTGGTGTTGCAATTAAGCGTGATCGGTTTGCAAGCGGAGGTGACTATGGAAAGTTAGGGGTTAGTGTACAGTTTCAGTGAAAATATTACTATGGTTGTGGTAACAATATTTAATTGTGATTATGTGTGTTAATTGTGATTATGTGTGTTAATTATTGTAGAGTTTAGATGTAACATATGGCGAGAACCATCCCAAGGATGCTAGGGATAGTAATGGCCCTTTGTCTATGGCTGAGGTATATTAATGTTTATTATAATGTTCTTATATTGTTCTACCTTTATTCTGTTTATTATAATGTATTATAATGGAGTTGTATATTGTTTAAATTCATGTTAGGGTTTTGTTCATGAGTTTGTTCAACATCATGGATATGACTATAACACGAGGCGAAGGAAGCGTGGTGATCCAAAGAACTCAATTCCAAATCAAGTAAAACGGAAAAAACATCGTTCTCGATCGTCCTCTGAAGCAGGCCTTGTGGCCTCTGAATCAAGCAACTCCAATACTCATGTGCCATGTGCTGAAGAACCTCACCTCTGTCATGTTATTTCTGCTCGTGATGTCTATTCATTGAATTGGTTGGTAACCATGCTAATTATTATGTACATGTTTTTTTATTGTGTTGTTTGTTTTAACTGATTTTGCTCTCCCTCTGATCTCAATTGAAGGACCATATCTTTAGATTTGGTGTGTCTATTAACTCGACTTGTTACATGGGTAATGTTAAAGCAAACTCAATTGTCATAATACCTTTTTTTTACATGTCACAACGCTTATGGTTTTGTAAACAGTTTCATAATGTATGTATGGGAATACGTGAAGGTTGTACTCTTGTGAGAATGCCTCTCAGTGCTCAGGTTTGTTGTTGTCCTTACCATTAATTTTTAGATGATATTCTATTTGTTTGAAGAGTACTTACTCATTCTGCTGTTTATGCAGACTGAAGAGTTGTTCTGTGGTGGTGGTAATGGATTTCAACTGCTATTACATAGCCTAAACACCTTTTTCCAATCTCCATATAGTCAGTATTTGGCAATTGTTGCACAGGTTAGTTTTGGTTTGTTTTGTCTCAATTTGGTCAGAAAATTGGTTGATTTGGACAAATCTGATTGAAACTTATGGAACAGTTGCATGATGGAGATGTTGGAAGAAGTTGTACTTGGCTTGTTGCAAAATCAGGAACGCTAACAAAAAATGGAGAGCCTACTGAGTTATGTGTCTTGCAAGCTGACTATCCATCACTGTCCCTTCATGTTATAAAGAGCCTTGTAAGTCTGTTAATCGTGTCATGTGTCTTCATAAAGGAGGATGATATTGGAATGCATTATGAATGAATGTGTTTTTTTTAGGGAGGAGCTTCAAAAGAATTCATTGCTGCTATTTATGAGGAATGGTTCAAACAGCTCCCATGTAAATTTCTTGTACTAGCTAAATAAGTTCTTCCCTGTATTCGATAAGTTGAAGGCATTTTTTATCTTGTTTGATAGAATACTATGTTTATTTGTTGTATTTGTTGTTAGAATAACAATTATTGGGCTACTATGTATCCATTCAATGACTAAATTATAGAGTATTGTTACATATTTTGGTTGGGGTTACATTTTTGGGGTGCACCAAATTATAGGTAATTTTGACCAAATTTGGGCTGCTGTTACATATTTGGACTAGCCTGTTACATATTTGGACTGCTCAAATTATAGGTAATTTTGACCAGAATCATTCTATGTCAAAGAAAAAAAGAAAATAGATTTTGACAAATAATATTGATTAAATATGAAATTATTGACAAATACCATTGATTGGCTAAAATCTGACATAATTTAGTGTGATCTTTTTGAGTTTATTTAGCATGAAATTTTTTTTATATTAATCTTAAAATATTGACAAACAAAAATTTAATGACAAGGATTGGTCATTTTGTCTAAAAAAAAGAGTCTACCAAATTTTTTTTTTTAACAAGTTCATATTTTGACCCTTCAAAATTAATATAAATCTTAATTTTTGTATTCTAATTTTTTGATTTGTTAATTCCACCAATTATACAGTCCTATTCCCATTCCCATTATGCTATTATACTAAAATTCATTCAACTAATACTATTATAGTAATGCATAACACACAATGGCAATTACATTGCCTTAATTCATACATTAAACAAATTACTCGAGTCACATAAGTCTTAATTAATACAAACCGTCTACATACGAATTACATAAACTAAAAACGATAATAATTAAGACAATAAGTAGCATCAACACTTCTTTTGAAATAACACCTCCCCCAACAGCAACAGATCCTAGGCATCAGCAGCGGGAGCTGAAGAACCACTTCCCTCGCCAGCAGTGGTAGCCGAAGAACCACTTCCCTCGCCAGCAGCGGCGGATGAAGAACCAGCAGCAGCAGGCTACATCATTATAGATCACACAAAATAATTAGTACTAGGCAACATTTAGATAACAATTTATATTACAGAGTAAAAAAAGGGAAAATTATAGAGTATACTTACCATAAGAACACCTAGGACCCTCGAAGGGCAATCCCCTATTACAGCAACAACAAACTCTCCCGAAGAAACCTTTCTTTCATTCCAAATCACAGCCACGCCACCACATATCCCAATACTCTCGTCAAGGGACCAGTCAACCTCGTTACCTAGAACCTTAACAACCTCTTCAAAGTTCTTCCTACCAACTCTAAGTTCTGTTTTAATGTAAATGATTGGGTTGTGTACAGCAACAACATCAATAAGATTCCCCTTAAATGAAGGACGGGTAACACCATGTGCATTCCATACAACAATGCTCGAGCCTAAGTCAAATGATGGACTACCTTTTTTGAAGCTACAATCAAGTGCAACATCCATGAACCTAAGAAAAGGGTCAATCTTAATCCTACCAACACACGTAGTAATCACTATTTCACTCAATTTGGCATGAAGATAGTACACTTGGAAACCATCACTGTAGCAAGCCAAAGATGTTTCTACCTTCTTAGCAGTTAGGGGGTACACCGGACCTGCTACATCTATGTCCGGGGTAGGGTTAATAAGACTCTCAAGGAAACAAGGAATGACCTCACTAATGAGGCTAGTATCATAAGACACATCTACACTATCACCTTTGTTTAGTTTTTTAAAAACATCAACAATGTTAATTCTACCAACAATGTCAACTAAATTTGGTAAATGTGCGGGAGCAGGGATACCTGATGGAACAATCATCTGCTTTCCATCCAATTCCGATTCCCACGGGCTTTCTGGACTTCGAATGATGTCTCTGATGCATTGATCACTCAGCAATTGGAGTGTGCCACCTTTACCCGTAGGGCCAAAGAACATGTAATTGTTGAAGTTCAATTCAGGAACACCAATGTTGTTGGGATCACGAAAGATAACTTTGTTTGGAGGTGAGGTTACTTCGAAACAACCAGGTGGGTAAACAGGGTTTTTGGGGTCGAATTGTTGTCGAGCCATTGAAAGGAGAGTGTAAATGTTTCGACTGAGAGGGTAAATAAAAAGAGAATTGGAGCACGGTTGTTGCTCAGGTCAATGTTTCAATTTATACTTACAACATGTTCTTCGTTTTAAAATAAAAATTAAAAAAAATTAAAAATATAAAAATATAAAAATAAAATAAATAACCTCAAGGTCTAAGGACACTTGTCCATAATTCTTGTTCATCTCAACTGACACTTGGACACTTGGCTTTTACAAATAAATAATTCCAATGGCCATAAGAAATTTATTATAGTACACATTTTAAATAAAAACCTAAAAACCTTATGAGACAACACAATGTAGCTACATCTACATCTAATTATAATTAAGTACACAAAATTTAGCTCACATATAGGTCACATATTTGTTTTGGCTAATTAGCTACAAAACAACACTAATTTACTAAATAATTTACATAATTTAATTATGGTAATACATTTGGAAACACGGGGTGCTTTGGTGGTCATAATATTCTACAATCATCTCTTGTTTGATGTCTTGGGGACGAATGGTACTATTCAAACCATCCTTTATGTGACAATGGCTAAGATTATTGCTTTCGTCCCATACAAATTTCAAAATTGCATTCCATTCGGTCTCACCCAACCGCATTCTCACTGGCATGTCATTCTGAAATCTAGCTAGGTGTTCACGTGCAAATTGGAGTGGCACATACTACATTATAAATAGTAAGCTAGATATTAAGTTAAAATATTAACAAATTTAAATTAAATTCAACTATATTAAAGGACAGGACAACATTTCGATTTTTGTGTTAGGTGAACATGTTAATATGTGACCAATATGAAACTTGTGCAAAAATAATAGTATTATAAGGGTTTTATTTCAAAACAAATTAAATTACCATTAAACCAAGATCAGTGTAATATCGTTCTACGGATGCCTTAAACCATAGGACCTCTTCATCGTTATATGTCGAGTCGCTACTAATTTCTTGTGGTTCATTATTGTTTATTTCTAACCCGGACCTATATACTCTGACACGAATGGCTGACATGTCACACAAGTAAATCTTCAGATGGTCCCCGATGATTATCTGATTATCGTTTACAAAGCCTTCCCAACCATCTTCAATAAAATACTTTCATTGATCACCCATTTCCACGTTTCGAACAATACAATTCCATGGTTGAGCACCTAGACCTCGGTACACATTAATGTTCCCATTGTGTGTACGAAAGAATTGGCCAACGATGCTGGAATTCGCTGTCATTTATAACATATCAAAACATTATATTGATACTTAATTTATCATTTTTATGTTATATTAGTAAGATAAAGAATTCTGTACTTACCACACATACTCTGCGTGTTTGGTTGACTACTATTTCGAAGCTAGGGTAATTCCAAGTAGCCATCATATTCGCAATTGCCATTAAAATTAAAATTATATGTTATTACAAAATTATAAGATATACAAAAAACGCTAGTAAATTAAAAGCAAATTAAGTTACTATTAATGTATAACCTGTTCCACTCTTACTAGAATTGATTGATGTAGTTGTTGAATTTCAGCTCCCAAACCTCTTATTATAGGCGTAAAAATGAGAGTGTATCGTACAATTATTGCCTTTATCAAAGTTCTTGTACGAGGTGACAATACATTCAGGATAGCTATGTAGGTGGTTTCAATACATACTCTATACCCGAGTATATTTAGTTGATAGTGTTTTTATTCATCTCATGTATAAATCATTTTCTATATTTTCGTAACAATTGATAGGTCAATGTTTCAATCAATTTTATTTTCGAATTTAATTGGTTCAATTAATTTTATTTTAACAATCTTGTGCATCTGCATTGTTCATTATGACCAGAATTTTGAAAAAAGAAAATCATTTAGAAATTTTAACTGCTACCTTTGTATTTGTTAATTTTTGTCGACAAATTTTTTCTTTCACTATTAAGCAAATGGATGTCATTTTAAATCACCGAATGCGAATTTCACCCTCAATCGGTTTACTTTAATAAATATTTGAAATAATTATTTATTGTGGAATTTTTAATCCAATTTTTATGAAAATTTAAAGTTTTAGAAAACAATTAGTATAAGGAAATTTTAATAGTAATATTGTCTTGTAAAATAGCATAGCAACTAACATTTCCTTTTACATTGCTCCTTAATTAGTTTTCTTTCCCCAATTCCCCACCATAAGTTTTCCTTTTGTAAGAAATTTTATTTTTTTCACTCATTAGATATGGTGGGAATCCGACTGAACTTGCTTGTGAATAGACCCAACATAGCATACTTTCCCAAGGCATAGGTCACAATATGACAAAAGACTTGTTGTCCCTCCAAATCTTATCCATATCTTTGTAGATTTTAATTAACATATCCAACTTGTGTACAAAAAATTGAAAATGGTTTTATAAAAGATTTTCTATTCATTGTTAAACAATCACAAATATATTGTAATTTAATTATACACATTGATTTCTTATAATAGGGAGTGAAATCCACCAAACATGTTTTATAATATGTTTATACAAATTAAGTCTTTTAATCCTCACAACCTCCCCCCATCCCCCAAAATTTTTTATTTATTTTTTCCAATTTCAATTGCATAATTTATTAAATCAAACTAATTATTTACATTTTTATATTCCATAATTTTCCTTCCTAAGTAGAATAATATATGTTGTAATTTTTTTGTTTTGGTTTTCAATACCTAATTGATTATTTAATATTTTTGGTCTTTGATTTTTCATAGTACAATTGTACATAATATGTGACGGCTAAAAAGAAAAAAAAATTGGGTAAAATGATGATGCATCCTTTTTTGTTTTATCCACCGGGCCTTACATAAAGCAAAGATGGGAATTGATGAAGTTGGCTAAGAGTGTAATTCAGCTGTATAAAAGGTGATGACATATTCTTGTGAATTGTCATCTCATGACATTTTTTTTAAAAAAAAAAAACAGCAAAATGATTCCATAATTTTGGTGATGGTACATGCAATAGGGATGGTACTTTCCATTGTTTGGCATAAAATTAAGTTAGGGCTTTGAGTTGCAAATGGATTGCTAATATTTTAACTCTTAACATTATTTTTGTTTGATTTTTTTTTAAAAAAATGGCACCTCTCCAATTTTGGTTTTTTTTATTTCTTTATTCATATTTATTAATGTCAAAATACCCTAGAAGATAGAGCAAATTCAAGCTGATTTGTGTTTTTTTAATTTTAATTTATTCAAGCTGATTTGTGTTGATTTGTGTTGATTTGTATACACTAACGAAAGTTAATTGAGATATTACATTAGAAGACAAAACCCTAAAGAGGAGTGATACTGAAAGTGAAAAATCAAGTACTTTAAGCTTTCTTTTAGAGCCAAGCCTTGTCTTGTCATATCAGTACAACGTTGGGGAAGGGCATGCCAACTGAATTTTCTTCTGCATAGGCTCAACCTATGACCTAAAATCTGGATATGTGCTCCCAAGATTTTACTATAGTACATATTCAGATAAGGATTGAAGCAACAATAAAAATAACGATGCGTAATAATTTCATTGACATTTGTTACGTAATATTTTAAATGTACGAAATTTATTTTATATATACAAAAAAACCCCAAAAAAATATATAATATGATATCTACATTTGATCATTAAAAAATATTTTAATGAACCAAATAATATGTATTTTTGGCAATACAAATTATATGCTCAATGTAAAAAATAAAACAATGATTACTTAGTCAATATATTTAGTTTCCAAATTATTTGCCTAGAACTTTTTTTTTTTTTTTTGAGGAATTGTAATATCTCCAAATTATTTGCCTAGAACTGATTTTGTTCATGTTGCACCTTTATATTTAATTTTATTTTTTTAAAAAAAAAAATATTTGTTTTAAGTTGTTAGGATAAGTAATGGTATGATATTAACAGTTAGAGTAGTTATAGGCCACGAATTTTTATTTTTTTAAATCAAGTACTATATGCTTGGTTTTTAAGGCAACACATGGGGTTATAGTTAGATAACAACTACATGCAAAAAGTTGTCCAAGCTGGGAATCCTTGTATCAAACATTAGCAAATAAATCTACAGCATGCATCATTCCTTGGTGGCAATCCATCCATTCTTGAAGTGTAATGATGACCATTGATGAATTATGCTCAGCTTTGTTGATGAATGCTAAGTTCATATACATATTGAGATTTAGGACATGTGTAATCAGTTACTAATAACAAGATGTTAAGTTTGCATTGACCTATTAAAAATGTCATTGACTCAATAATTGGTTTTAGGTTGACAAATCCAAATTTTAAAGTTTATGTTATCGATTATTGATTGTACACCATTAGTTCTGATTTAAAATTGCTTTCATAAACAAGCACGTCAATCTATGTTAGGTTTAGGGTTTAGGGTTTGGATTTATCGACGTTGAACATTTATCAAACAACGTAGAATTCTTTCAAAACTAATAAGGTTAAGGTTTACAATTGTATTAATGGTTTAATGACCAAACATGCAATAACCCAGGGTTAATCGATCGTTTTAATGTTGGTATCGGCGTTAGGGTTTAAAATGTCATTGACCGAGTTAGAGTTCAATTAATTGAAAGATACAATCTAGGGGTAAACGATCGTACATGTTATTAGTTTAAGATACTGTTAGAGTTAAATTAATAGAAATTGTCTTATTATTTGTAATTTAACCCGGGTTTAAAATCTCATTAACCCAGTTACAGTGAAATCAATCGAAAGATACAATCTCAGGTTAATCGATCGTATTAATAGTTGATGTGGGTTTAAGATTTATGTAGTATTGTAATCGTCTTATTAGTTATGATTAAAGGTTTACGGTTTAGGGTTTAGGGTATCGGGGGTAGGGTTGTAGGGTTTAGGGATTATGACTTAGGGTATAGGCCTATAGGGTTTTTGGTCTAGGGTTTAGGGTATAGAATCTAGGGTTCGGCTCATCTATGTTTTAAGGTTTAATGTCAAGTGTTTAGGGTTTTTAGTTTAGGGTTAATGGTCTAGGGTTTAGAATCTAGAGTCTAGGGTCTAGGATGTAGGGTTTAGCGTTTATGGGTTTAGGGTTCAATATCTAGTGTCTAAGGTTTAGGGTTTGTGATATAGGGTTTATAATTTAGGGTTTATGGTTTAGGATTTAGGGTATAGGGTGTTAGGGTTTAGGGTTTACGGATTAGGGTTTAGGGATTAGGGTTTATGGTTTATGGTTTAGGGTTTAG